ACAGTTGCACCTCTTTTACTCTTCGGTCAAGAAGTCCTGACAACGCCAACGCTGCTGACAACAGATGTAGACGCTGTCATTGGTAATTATAAAAATAATTTTAATTATTCAGACGAAACTCCTTAGTACTTTTGAATGAAATTGATGAAATTAATGATTACAGATTCCTCGTCTTCAGATAATGTTTGTGCAGGCTGTAAAAATGAAGATCAAATTTTATGCTACGTTTGTCAAGTTTGTGGGCGACGAGCTCATGAAAAATGTTCAGATTATTTTTTTAACGAAAAAATTTGCAAATTATGTATCCATTTAAGTATTGAGGATAGTAATTATCAAGTAATTGGACTTAATAACAATGGAAATGACTGCTGGTTGAATGCTTCTTTACAGATATTATATGCATTACCTATCTATAATTTTTCGTGCATTAAAACGATTACACCGAGTTCTTGCATTCTAAAATATTTCATTGAATTGAGAATACTCATGCAAACTGTGGATGCATCTATTGATTCGCAAAAAATGTATGCAGTAAAAGCGTAGGTATTATTCTTAATTAAAACTCTATGATTATAATATTTTTCTGTAAATGATATTTTTTTTATTAATTTTAGTTCTCTTAAAGAAAACTTAAGAAAGATAGACACTGCAGGATATAGATCGTACGCGTCAAATAGTCAACAAGATGCTACAGAGTTTCTACAGAGTATTTTAAATTACTTTACTAAAATTTTCTATACAGAAAAAAATAAGTTCATGATGCATTTATTTATAACTAAGATTAAAGAACATTCTTTGTGCAGTAATTGTGGTTTTGAAAAAATTTCGGATGATGAAAGTCATAATATTATATTTTTACCCATAGATGAGGACATAAGAAAACATAACGTGATAAGTTTACGAGATCTTGTTATGAAATTAGAAAATTATGATAGAGAACAAAAATGTTCCAATTGCAGAATAAATTCGAAGCACTACGTGGAAATTGGTATAACAAAATTTCCGAAATATATTGTTCTGGCATTAATGAGATTTGACTTCAACACCAACAAAATTCGCGATCGCATACAAATTTTTGATGACATGGATCTGGACGATTTTAGGTAAGTTTTTAATTTATAACTATCAAAAATTAGATTATTAATTATTTCTCTATTTAGAGTTATAGAACCACCGCTGCCTAGAATAGAAACAAGGTACAAAATTAAAAGTTTTATATGCCATCACGGAGAATCCATCGAACATGGACATTATTCTTCCTTTATTAATAATAATAATACTTGGTATCACGTGAATGATACAGCATTTAATGTCTGCAGTGACGAAGATATCTTTAATTCGGAAGAAATTCAAAGAAATGTTTATTGTCTTGTGTATGAACGTGTATAATAAATTATTAATATACCAGCCAATTATAATTGACGTGTTTTTTACTTAGTTATTTTGAAAAGTTTTTGTAACTTTTTGTACTTTCATAAGTTACGTTGGCAGCGCACGCTATGTCGATAAAACAGTGACGAGCACACGACTTGTAGTCGCCCTCAAGCCAACGCTGAAGCCGTTGCAACTGATAATACTGATCAAAGCTATTTTGGTGGCACATTCCATTATATTTTGGACGAGGAACGGCAAATTGTAATACTTGGTTGCATACCTATCTACGAACGTCATACGGCGGAATTTCACAAAACAGCATTATTGAATGTATTTCAAGATTTTGAATTGAAGGTAGATGATCTAGGAGCTCTTGTATCAGATGGAGAGGCAGCAATTAAAAAGCTTGCAAAGAAATAGGTATGCATAAGCGTGTTATTGGAGATGCTCTTAATCTTCTGAAATCGGTCGAAGAGAACAAAAAAAAGGCAAAAATCAAATAAGTTTCTGCTAACCTCACACGATGAACACATCAATATAAGAATTTTTCAAAGGTACGTGATATTACTTCATTAATTAAAAGAAGTACACGTGTATTAGAAAAATTGAAAAATCAGCAAATTGGAGCAGTCAGGAGTGAAGACAGAGTATCGACGCTAGTTTTAGATAATACTACAAGGTTGACATCAACTATTTCCATGATTCGTCGATACATCAAAGTTGAAGAATATATTTGTTTTTCTATGCGTTAGTGTGCTAAGCCTATAGATATTTTGAGCCGAGACGAAGTAATAAATCTTAAAGATGTACTGACATTATTAATGCCAATTGAAGAAGCTATCAATCAAATTAGTGATAATAAAGATCAAACTTACAGCTCTATAATTCTGTCGGTAAATCAGCTCTTTAAATGCTTCTGGAAAAATTGTAAATCAGACAGAAGCGTGAGAGACTTTCAAAAATAAAATAGATTTGAGTACATGGAGCGATCTTTTTTAATTCCAATCGCGACTCTGTTAGATCCAAGATATTAAAAAAATGATTTAAGAATCGTATGACAGCCTTGGAAGCTCCAATAAAAGTTAATTCAATGCTCATAAAAATGGCAAGTCAAAACAGATCAGTGTCACAAAATAAAAGATGGACTCCTAAAATAGCAAATACAAATTCCAGCTCAGTTTCGTGGGCTGATTTCGATCAAGAAGTGGAAATTACAGATTCGAATGATACAACACTGATTATTTCAAAAATTATCTTGAGCTTGGGCAGTACTTGAGTTTGCCAAAAATTGATCGGTCAGAGAATCCAGTGAAATTCTGGTCTCAAAAAAGAAGCTTTTCCTCTACTCTCACAAATTGCTTTAAAATATATGCACAAGTGAAACAACGTTGAATTTATTATAGTAAGCGTCACCGTAAAGTTTTAATGTTTTGTAACTCATCGTAACTCATCGTAACTCATTGTTAAAATAAAATTATACAAGGAGGACAAGTCTTTTTCTACCGACAACTTCTCGAGCTTCGCAGCGGGTTAGAAAGACAAGTCTTCTTCAACTGCGAAACTTGAGCGAGCAGTGCACTTTCGCTAAAATTTTCTATGCCGAGAGATCGCCTCTCTTATATGCCTAGAACTAGTCTTATTCTAATGCGCGAGCGACGATCTGCGTCGACGTCACCTAGCGGTGACTAGTTCAAACAGGATGGGTATACTGATATACAAAGTGTATGAATCGGATTACGTATAATTCTAAGTTTTTTTTATTCTGTTTCATTAGTTAAAATATTAAACTATTATTGATAAGATTATTATTATTACTAAAAGTTTGAAACTTAAAGGTTATTATGCAGTACAATGAATTCGAACTTACTGAGGTTTAAATCATTTAAAAAAATTCACAAAATAAGAATTCATCGATTTTTTTTCATGCGCACAGAACTTTTGCGAACTTTATACGCATAACAGAGATCATCAAATTTAATAACTTGCAAGATTTCAACAATAAATTATATATCTTTATTATATATAAAATTTTTTTCGATTTTACCGAACGATCCTAAACCTTCATTTTCTAGCGGCATAACCATTTCAACTGTATACTCAAATTCTTCGTGAATAATAATTTTCGTTGAATTTACATCATATGACGAAGGAAAATTGCTCCATCATATACATTGATTGGAGTATACTTATTAACATCTAAATCATCTAAAAGTAAACTCTCATTGATTTTCGTATGAGCCAGTTTTAATAAGTAACGCTTTGACAAGATACAAGAAACATTTACATAATTACTATTGGCTAAAGCGTATGCTTTTAATTCGCAATGCTTAGATTCAAATTTAAACGCCGAATAATATATTAGGAGCATTTTGATTAATAATTTTGAATAAATGTAGCAAATTTTGTAATTTTATTGTGGCACGATTAAATACTTCATCATATGTAAAAGAATCTGTTAGTTTATAATAGTTAATTCATAGTAACTGTCCTCTATTGATTGAAGGTGCCATGACTGTATTTATTATTTTACGAAAAAAGGATGAATAAATGCCAACTTTCATTCTCTTCTGAGATTTTTTTCCCTCTGTTACTCCGAATAAGCGAATAAATTTTAAAGTCTCAGCAGCAGACATTTTCAATTTATTATTTTATAAATTATCTTCTTTTATTTTTGGAATTGTGTTGCTTATATTTTACAATGTGCATTGTACGATCTCAAACTGATTATTTAGGTAATCGAGAGAAAAATATTTTCTTTCATAGTATAATTATGACAAAGATTTAACTTGAGTATTTTACCACAGCCTTCCAAAATATCATTCATTATTTCGATAGTACTATTTTTAATGGCATGATAGGCATTGATATTATTAAAAAAAATACTCTCCTTAATACCGATAATGCTAGATTTATTCAAGGCAATATCATCATTATATGATTCTACGGATCCTAATAAACTTGCCTCTTCCGAAAACATAGTTTTCTACTAGCTTACTTTCACATATCTATCCTGATTAAGTTTATAGCCGTATTTTAAGATTAATTGAAATGACCAAGGCAATTCTAATAATATGCCTACTTATACTTATACCTAAATGTACACATTTTTACTTTGATAGTATATTGAAAGGTCTTGTGGAAAGTGTAGAGGCTCCGAAAAATACATAAAAAAATAAAGTGTTTGCAGGTTCTAATATTATACACTGAATGAATTGAACATGAGTAATAAGGATATATTTTATTTTACTGACACTGTCCATTATATAAACATACATGAAATGTAAAAAAAATGTTGATGAATTTCAAATAATAATATTATTTATAACTACTTTCTCAAATGAACATATCACTTTCAAGAGCCCTAATTATTGATTTTTGTAAATTAACGAGATTTAAAAAAATTAATAAAATATCATCTATGTTTTCAAATAAGTGCGTTTAATAATAAACCGAAACTGTTTTTCTTAATTATTCATATATTTTAAGGAGGTTCGGGAGTCTCAGCGAAATGCAGCCATATTTTTAAAACACGTTTAATTGCTTTGAAACTTTATAATATGAATGTTAATATCAAAATACAACTTTTCACCGCAAAATTTTGTTAAAATGATNAATTAATATTTTATTATGTATTTTACAGAGCTTTTTGCTTCATTTTACGACTGCTTGATTGATGCCGATCGAGAAAAGTATAACGACGTTATAGTTTCAGCAAGGTGGACAGACACTTTCAAGCAGAGGATCGATTTGTTGTGTAAAAAAGAAGGAAAAAATTTCCTATTAACACCGACACTTTATGTTCATTCGTTTAAATGCCTTCTAGATCACTCGTCAATATCATTGGTAATCTACCACTTTATAAAATATAGATCTTTGAATTGTTTACAAATATTATAATTATTATTATGTTACATGGTCTCTTGCAGTTGGTATCTGATTTTGAGACTATAATTAACGAATTTTATATTTCTACTAAAATAACTACCGAGTTTTATGCAAGAAGTGAAACTTTTTTTGAAACTCAATGGCCAATCATCGCTGAAAAATTTATGGCAATTGTGAAAGTTGCCTCTGGCCAAAACATAAAAAATTTCAAGAAAAAGCACCAACCTTTAATAGATGCAGGTAATTAATTTATTTCATGTAAATATTTGATAATCGATGTCAGTGCATCTTTATAATTATATCTGTTTGCTTCATTTGTACAGGTAAACATGACAATCTATTGGCTCTTTTCGCTTTGCCATGGTACTTGAACAACACTCACGAAGGGATCACTAGAAAGCAAGCTGCAGATGCTTTTTTTCTACATCTTAAGGTAAGCTTCTCTACCCATACTTTATTCTAATTTTCTTCATTCTTATTTTTAATTACACAAATACTTTTTTACAGGATGATTCAAATTTAGCTGTAGATAGGGAGAATCACGAAAAAACTCTAGAAAAACTTTCTATTAGGATACCTTTGTATGTAATTTTATGTGGAACGATTGAATCAATTTCAAAATCTTATCTTGTATTTAATGGAACTATTATAAGTTATTCTAATCCGTTCAAAGCTATTTTAACTTGCATTAAGTGTCAAGCAGCTCTGCGTTCATGGCCCATTGCCTGTGAGCCAATTCATGCTTTTTTTCAATTTATTATCTATAAGATACCGATGAATAAGAGCTTATTTTTTGTCTATAAGACTCATGCTGTGACAAAAAACTTAATTGAAAAATTGCAAATAAATAAGAAATAAGGTTTTTTTTCAAATGTTAATTAATTTTTAAATTAAACATCACATCCTTTTGAAACATATGTACAGATATAATAATACAGATTTGTATTTTATCAGATGTAAATTTCATTTTTAAGTAAAAATCACGTATTTGTTAAATACAATACAAAAATAATACAAATTTGTATTCTATTGTTATTATTTATAGCCCTATCTTTGAATCTTTATTATCATGGATCTTTTTTTCTTAATCAAAGAACTTTTAATTTTTATTTTAAATATTTATGCAGATTCTAACTTGCCTAGATCGGTTGTTGATACCGTGATTGATTTTTTTGATAAATTTAATCAAAATCATTTCATACCATCTCTTCGAGCAGATATTTTAGAAGCATTAGAAAATGAACAATTGTCAGAGAGAACTAAAATGAAGTTAAATTCCGTTTTTGACGATTATAAAACGTTGTTTGTTCCACTTAATACAGAGGATAATAGATTCAATTTATTACGTAAAATCAATTATCGTAATCCGCAGGTTCCTGAGATAGGAAATGTATTAGAAAAAAAATCGGAAGGGAATCACACTTATGTTAGTTTCGACCCAGTATTTGCTCTTGTGATGCCTTTAAAGATCACTTTAAAACATTTTCTGGAAATTCCAAATGTTTTTAATTCCATAATGGAATATAGATCCAAATTACTTGAGGAAAATAATCCCCTTATTATAAAAAATATTATTCAAGCTGATTTATTCAGGCAAAAATATATCCCAAAACATTGTCAAGATATTGTGATTCCATATTTCATTTATTTTGATGAATGTGAATGCGGAAATGCACTGGGCAGCTGTGCAGGTAAAAATAAAATGTCAGCGGTCTACTCTCAAATAGCGTGTCTACCTCCTAGTATTGCTTCTCGTCTATGTGCGATTTTTCTTAGCTTATTAATGCATTCTAAACAGCAGAAAAAGCTTTCGAACAGGGAGACCTTCCATAAATTGGTCGATGAGGCTAATGACCTCAGGCAAAATGGAGTGAAAATCTGTGTTGATTCTAAATCGTTCGTAGTTAAATTTGAATTGCTATTGGTGTTAGGTGATAATTTAGGCTTGAATGATATTTTTGGTTTTACGAAATCATTCACAACCGATTTTTACTGCAGAATTTGTAAACTCACTAATGAAGAAGCTAGCCTCGCAACTATTGAAGTAAAATCAAAAATTCGAAAACGTGATGATTATGATTTAGACGCTAAAATAAAAAATGTCAATGAATCCGGAATAAGAGAAGCTTGTATTTTCCACGAAATTCAAAACTTTCACATCACGGAAAATACAAGCATAGACATTTTGCACGATTTCTTGGAGGGCGTGTGCTCTTATGATATACATCAAATTTTAAAAGTTTTTATCTTCGATAAAAAAATTTTTAAATTGAACGACCTCAATGAACAAATAGAATGTTTTGAATATAAACACACTGGTTGTAACAAACCACCACCAATAAAAGAGAATCATCTAAAACAACGGTTCAATTTAAAAATGTCCGCTTCCGAAATTTCATGCCTCACACGATACTTACCTTTATTTATTGGACATTTCGTGGAAGAGGAAGATGAGCATTGGCAATTATTTATTTTACTTCGCCGAATTTTTGATATTTTAGCATGCCATTTTGTTCGACGAGATAATGAAAGTTATTTGCAATCATTGATCGAAGAACATCATGAGCTTTACATTAAATTATTCGGTCCTTTAAAGCCCAAACATCATTTTTTAATACACTATCCTCGATTATTGACACTATTAGGACCATGTGTCAATTACTCGACCATGCGTTTCGAGTCACGTCATCGACCGATCAAATCCGTAGTAACTTCTACAAGCTGCAAAAAAAATCTGTTGTACACAATTGGAGTAAAAGAGCAATTGCGTCTGTGCCAAATCATAAATAATCAGATTTTTATAGAAAATGAATCAGATAGAGAAGATTGCTTCAATATGCTAAAAATTGAGTTAGAAGGCATTAACTATGAAGTAGGAATGTTTTTACCAATTAATATACAACAGCATAATAAATTATTTGGTAAAATCATAAATATCGTAAGAATCAATAAAAAATGTTATTTTACTATGGAAACTTACGAGGAAAAAGATTTTGATTCGCACTACTATGCGTACGTGGTGCGGAGAGTGAACGAAGATCTGTCAATTTTTTCCAAGAAAATATGTTCCGAAACTACCGGAATATTATTTAAAAAATACTGCGGTGAAAAGTATGAAAAATTACTATGTTTCCCATCTGCTATTTAAATTAATTTTTCTATGTATGACTAAATGTAAGATTTCGAAATAAAGATCTAAAATTCTACAGTAAGATTGAAAAAAGGGGTTTGTTTATTTACAACTAAAATTTATGCATAAATACATATTTATGTAATATTAATATTCATAATGTATTAGCCGATGAACTACATATAAATACTTAAACAATATGCGTCTAACATAATAAATTTTAAGTATTTAAAAGAGCAAACTCAAGGCTCTCCGGTAATATCGCATCCTCCTTGTATACACCGTTTGGTACTCGATTCATCGTGTGTACAGCACACGACGCAACGAGGGAACAGTCCCGCCACCAGTCCGAGTGACCTATACTCGAATTATGACGAGACAACACTCGATATCGATGTTCCGAAACTCGAGAGTGCTCGAGTATCTGCGCGCTGATCGTCGCGTGACTAGTGCTCGTTCGCCGTTTCAGTGTGCAGAGGAGTCTCTCCACTCGCATTGGCTATGTTCGGATTGGCGCCGTGTCTTAGCAGTAATGCGGCCAAATCAAAGAGGTAATCGTAGGCGAAATCATCTACTGGATCGCAGTCTCTGTTGCAAACGCGATTCAGAGGAGTCTCTCCTTTCGCATTGGTTATGTTCGGATTGGCGCCTCTTTCCAACAGCAATTTGATCAAGCGTACGTCTTCCCGGTCCACGGCGTTGTGCAGTGGTGTCCAGCCCCGTTTGCCTTGGGCATCGATAAATATCGTTTTCTGTTTTTCGTCACTGATATCGAATAACATCTTTACCGCATCAAAGATATCGTCGTCGTCTCTGCTGCAAATACTATGCAGAGGAGTCTCTCCATCCTCGTTGGTTAGATTTGGATTCGCGCCTCGCTTTAGCAGCAATTCAGCCAATTTTTTGTTACCGCGATACAAAGCCAAGTGCAACGGTGTATTTCCTTGACTGTTTTGGGCGTCGACGTGAACTGACAGATTGGCTTCGTCTGTAAGGGCGAGAAATGCCTGCATCAAGTCAACGTCGTCATCTTGTCTCTGACAAATATTGTGCAGAGGTGTCGAACCCTTAGCATCGACTAAATTTGAACTGTCGCATCTTAGAAGAAAATCGGCCACCTTACGTTGTTTCACGAGGTTATTGGGATCCTGCAGGAGTTCGTGCAATTTTTCCACGATAAAGCCATACTTACACGCTACATCGAAGTGGGTAAGGCCCGACTTGTCGATGTAGTCGAAGTCGATCCCATAATTGTATATTTGAAAAAGTTTGCCAACGAGATCTTTACTACAATTTAGTCTAGCCGCGCAATGAACTGCTGTGTCGAGGCGCAACAGTGGCTTACCGTCTTTATCTACGTCGGGCTCGTATTTATAGCCGCTGCGAGCCACGAAGTCAATGAATCGTTCTCCTTGATAATTATTATCCACTCCGCAACAACTAAGAGAATCCACTAATAAACAATTAATTTCGTCTTTCCGGAAAATGTTTCGGAGATTTGGAAGTCGGCCTTTCCAATTAAGGATTAACTTATCGAGTTGACGGAGAAAGCCATGTCGCAGTGCTTCGATTGCCCGGTTTCCGTTGCCATACACAAATTTTAATTTTTTCAATTCTTCCACACGTACGTCGCCCTCTCCATGAAAATTTTCGCCAGATTGGTTCGAGGACATAGACATTTTTCCGCGCACTCACAAACACAATCACTTCAACTTTAAAATATTGATTTTTTCCACATTAAAAACGCGTGTTGTTGTCGCGATGATTTCTCTTTTCAGATTGCGGGCGTGGCAATACATATGCGTATCATAACTGAATTGAACTATACTCGGCAAGTAGCGAAGAACTGATTTCACTTTTCACATGGCGACATCATGGCTTGCCTCATTTCAAATGAATTAAGCTATGAGTATACCTACGCGCATGAACTGTATATGAAATGTATGACCATTGGAAAGTCTACAAACACTAGTGCTCTAAAAAGTCGCACCCACAGTGAGCACTAAATTCAAATTTGTGTAAAGTTGTAAACAAAAATATTTATTTTAAAAATTTTTTTCTGCATTTATTAACTTAAAAATATTATGAAAAATCTAGTATTGTGTCGGCAAATCCGAAAAAAATAATTAAAATTTTTTTATAGTAAAGCCTTGGATTAAACCGTAATGCTTGGAAAATTATCTAGTAGATTTTAGGTATCCGTGGGAATGGCATGTATATCAGTTTGGTATTCTCAAGTTATAATGAAGACTATAAAAGATGTATTATTAAGTAAAAACGCTTTATGTTTGAGAAAATACTTAAATTTCTACAATTTCTATAAAGAGATAAATTTATCAATAAGTCTATTTAAAGGGAGTTATGTACCAATTCACTCTCCTTTGGCTATTTTGTAATACAAGATACAGTTTAATATTGATCTACATTTCCAGCATGTATTTGACATCTTATAGCGCTGAAAAATGTATAAAAAATTTTCAAATAGGCCTCTGTTTCTGAAAATAGCTTATTTTGGTTGTGCTAGCATTTACTCATGGTGCGCAAGGTTTACACCAATGTTTTTGAAATATGTATGTAGACATACCTTTGGTATGTACAAAAATCTCTAATAAAATACCTTATATAATGAGCTGAATTTTCTGGAATTTTAATATCCATCTTTTTATATATTCCAATATGTGCTCAATTTATTACTTTTGGCTACATTTGTTGACGTACAAACATTTGAATAATTTTAATAATAATTTT